ACATACCATGAATTAAGAGCAAATAAAAAAATAATTTAATTAAGAGTTTATTTTTAAAAAAATATTAAAAATTATGGTCCTTAATTATTATTAATACAACATGAGAATAAAAAAAAAAGTCATTATTCGCCCTTGTATTAAACTTAAAATAAAAAAAAAAGAACCAAACGTGCGATACTTGCATTAATGGTTCTGTTTATATACGTTGACACGGGCAGGCAGAAGGTATCTCAGCCCAATAAAGGCCCAATATCCTAATATCAAGCCCAAATTCTTATTGGGAACTAAACGAAACTGATCAAGAGGGTTGGCTCCTCATAATGTATGTACCAAAATTTTAATATATGTTGAAAGAGATGCTCATATTTAATATTTAATCATATCTAAAACTTATTTACTTCTATAACTATACGCAATAAAATAAAATAAAATAAAAAATAATGCTATACACATTTCATTCCAGTGTCTTGAAAATTTTTAAGTCTGTCGTCATATTTTATGATCAGAGTTAAGATTGATTAAGATTGGTGTTCTTATTTTTCATTTCTACTGAGAATATGATTTTCAATGGCCAACCCAAAATAAGATGAAATGGAATGAAATGAAATGGATTGAAAAAATTAAAGATAAAAATAAAATGATCAAAGGGAATAATTGAGCATATACATAAGGGAGAGAAGTAATTTAATTCATAGGATTAAGAATTATAATTTATGAGATTTGTTAAAGGGTGTGACAATTCTTACATTTTAGCATATATTAATGAGTTTTATCATACTTAATATAAAGGAAAGGAGAATTTAGTTCATTTTTATCTTAATTTTTTTTTCAATTCATTCTTTTTTTAATATTCAAAAAAGACCTAATTACCCTCTGTAATCCTTCAATGATATTTTCCTTTTTTTTTTTGTTTCCTTCCCTTAAAAGTTGTCTTAAAATTCTCTAGCAAAAGTACAGTACTTTTACATGCTATTATATGGAAAAATTCGAATGTGAATACTGTAAATTTAATTTCAATAGTTAATATCATCATATTTATTTAAGAAAATTTTAATTAATATTTTTATATATTGTGTGTCGCATATTAATTATCTAATCTAAAATTTATCACTGCTAAAGAGAAATAGTCTATTCAAGGTAAAAAGAAAAAAAGAGAAAAAGTTTATGATAAGACACTATGGATCAATATAAATTAAAAAAAAGGAAGAAAATTATATACTTAGTATTATATATTTTAAATATTTATTTTCAATTAAATTAATATATGTGTATCTATTATAGATTATTTATTCTATAATAAATTCTTATTATTAATATTATTAACATATTAAAATATACATATCTTGATTTGTTTTGATGAAAATATATTGAGTATATAAGGGTAAGTATATAACTCCTATCCTAAAAAAAAAGGGTAATCTCTTACTCATAACAAATTTCCTTAAAGAATCAAAGATCAAAATGAAATAAGAATACTAAAATTATAATCAATTAGAAAATAAGACAACATGCAACAAAGCTGATGATAGGAGCCAGCCAAATCGTGGTGGGAAAGACAAGTTTGGAATCCGAGAGAAAAATTGATTATTTGTTTAGGTTTCTAAATGAGTTACATGACCAACCTAGCCCATAAAAATTTCCTAACCACGTTATAATTATTTTCATAAGACTGGGTTATAAATTGCATGATATGAAAATTTAGGTCAACTCACTAATTGAACCAATCAACTAGTGTCTTAGCAAGTTTAATCAAATGTTTTATTTATGATTGGGTTTCATCATAATTCGATTACAATTTTAATTATTATATCTTTAACTTATGTCTTGATCAATTTAATGACTAATTTAATTTATTAACTTGATAAATCCAAATAAGTGCTATAGACATATAAGTCAATTTTTACCAAAAACAAAAAACAGAAAATAGAGAGGGAGCAAGTGAAAAAAAAAAACAATAACATTTTTTCAATTAAAAAAAAACATTCATAGACTTATAAACTGGGCATCTTTTCTTTTTCGCAATACCCACCAAAGATAAAAATTTAACAGTTATAAAGAGGACATATTTTATCTTTGAAAATCTATTAAAAAAACATACTAATTAAAATATATGCAGAATTATTGTAGAAATAAAAAAAATTGTATGAAACCTACCAAAATGTATGAGAAAAGAAGAAGAAGAAGAAGAAGAGTTCACTGGAGAATGTTACATTAGTCATAGCTTATAAACACAAATGGCAAATGCCAATAAATCAAGCTTATTATTGCTAGTTAAATTAGTATTGGTTTCATATATTGTAGAAATGATTGAAAACAAAGTTGTACTATTATGACTCCTACGATATATTTGAGCTTTTATATATTACACATAAAGATGTTTAAATTCATTTTGTCCATATTAAAAAAGTTATAATATCCACTTTATGTATTTTATGTTTTTTGTTTTAGTATCAAATTCAAAACCTCTAATTAAACTAGTAGTCTGGTATAATTTTTTATCATTTAAATCAAGGAACCGATATTGACGTAGTTTATGCTTTTAATGCTGAATTTGGATTTATTTTCTGAATTTTTTATGTATAAACTTAATAGAGCAGGCGAAATCCGGTTATTTAGAATACAACAAACCGTAGCAATGAGCTTACGTTGAACATTCCGCCCAGTGACATCCGCTCTTGTTGTCCATTCTCACAATGTCACTTTCTAGTCCGTATTTTTTTCCTTTTTCTGGTCGTTATCTCTATAAAAGTATCATTGCTTTTATTTTATATATAAATGTTACATTAAAAAAATGAAATTTTATAAATGTATCATTTCATTACATTTTGTAAAGTAAGGTTAAATAAACTTTTACTTTTTATGATATATTACTTTATTAGTATGCAATATTTACTTGAAATTTTTTTAAAAAAAAATAGGTCCACTAGTATCTTGAACCCTGAACTCATTTATTATATAAATTATTTCCTCAATTCTTAAAAACACTATAATGTAGCTCATACTATTAATAAAATTTAACTTTACAGTTAGATAAAAAAAACAGAGAGAGACTTCAAAAATTGCAGACGTTGTTATAAAAAAAAAATGGATCCCATTTTACTCCCTCAGTTCCTCTATATAATATGCTTTTAATTAAATCACATAAAATTAATAAAATTTAATTATCTAATTAAAAGGACAACAACATTTCAATTTTACTTTTAATTATTGTAAATAAAAATAATTTTTTTTTCAAGTAAATTAATGAGAGTATTTTTTTTCTCTTTCCAAATTAATAAAGATATAATGGTTCATTTATTAAAAAAATGCTAATAATATTTTATATTTAGAGATAAAAAAAAGGGTCTAAAAATCTTCTTAGATATGGTTTGGTTTGTTATCAATTAAGCTGGCTTTTTGTCGGGTTAATCAGTTAGTCAACTATTCAGTTTATGGGGGTTGATGGGGCTAGGAGCGAATTCCATATCCAATTATTTGAATCAACTGATCTGGTTTTTAAAATCCTGATTTTTATAAATTAGGTTTTACATTTTTCAATTAATTTAATGATTTTTTTCAAAACATTTTTTTGTGAGATAGTTATAATTATTGATTCAAACATTTATAATTATAAAAATTGTAATTGCAAATCATGAATTAATAACAATTAAGTTTTGTAATGTAAATCGAGACTTCTGTATTTGTGAGTGTCTAATTCTTTACCGGAAGTCTATTTTAATAACATCCAATTTTTTTTCTTTTATCATATCTCTATATTATAATTAATAAATGCGTTTGTGCAAAAAAATTAACACTATACTCTTTACAAAAACAAAACTTATGTATTTAATTCCATATACTTAAAGTTCTTATTTTAAATTAGATAAAGGCAAGTAAATATTTTTTTATATTATTTATTTTATAACAAATTCTTATTATTAATGTTATTATTAGTCTTTCCTTCCACAAAATGTCTTTCATTTTGAACTAGTAATGGACTAACCACTAGCCAAATGTCTCATGGTAACTAACATCCACGTTCCTTCATTCGCTTACCAACATGTACCTTGGAAGTCCCAACAGCTAACCGCTAGTAAAATGTCTTGTAATTCACTCCCCTCATTCTATTTATAGAATTTAAAAAAAAATATTTTTTACCTTATTTATAAATTATTTTATTAAATTTTTATCTCAATTTTCTTATTTATTCTCTGAGAAAAAAAATATATTATTAAAATATGTATATTTAATATGAGTAAAGTTAAAAAATTATTAAATTTTAAAAAAATTTATGAGTTTTAAATTTTTTTTATTTCAGTAAAACATGTTAAAAGTAACTTATGAATAGAATTAAAAGAGTAAATTAAAATAATCATTATATATTAATTAAAAAATATCATAGTATTACTTTATCGGTTAAAAAATATAAATAATTTTAATTAAATCTCACTTCATTAAATTAGTTAACTTTATTCAAACTAGCATATTTTTTTAATATATAATCTTATTTAATAGAATCTTCATTTAAAGATAAAAATAAAATAATTTATTTATTAATTTGATTTTTAGAAAAAGTATATTAATTATAAGAAAAATATAATTTTTAATTCCTATAATTTTATTGAATTTTATTTTTAATTTTTATTATTTTTTTAGTATTTTTAAACTCTATAGTTTTAAAAAGATTATGCTTTTTCTTAATTATATCTTCAAATATTTAAAATAGTTTATATTTTTGACATCCAACTCTCAAAAATATTTTTTGAACGTATAATTTTGTAATTTGAGTTTTGAACGTGGTTATTATCTTTTATCTTAGAGCATCATGGTCCGCATTTCCTCCATTCGCTAACCAATATATCCTTGGTAGTCCCAACAGCTAAACGCCCTTCAACGTCGCTTTTCTCTGCAAAGTCAAAAAATACGCCCCAACCAATTTATCTTTTGCTTCACTTCTGTTTTTAAATTGTTAAATATGTGAACTTAGTTCCATAAATCACGCATCTCCTACCTTCGTTTCCACTTCGTTTATGACGAAAGCTTTCACAGTGAAGAGCTTGGCCGCATAAAATGATGGTGCTCGTAAGCTCAGGCTCAGGGCTCAGAAAGCAGGTGGTTCCTATTGATTATGAATCAGAGGTTTCGCAAAGGCTCGTCGACGCTGCTCATGACGGCGATACCGACGCTGCTTTAGAATGTATTGCCGATCCTTTTGTCGACGTCAACTTCGTCGGAACGGTGAACCTCAGGTCCAGAACGACGGAGATTGTGTTGCACGACGAGTCGTCTCATGAAGTCCGATTCGGATACGAGGAGTTCAAAACGGAGGTCACTGCACTGTTTCTTGCTGCTCATGCAGGGAATTTGATCCTGCTCAGAAAGCTCGTGGTGATGCACATCAGTTATTGCATTTTTTTTTTAAATTTTCGAATTATGAATAGAAACAAGCATCTGAATGTCAATTATTCTTTAGTGTTGTATTTTGTGATTTCAATACTTCGTTCTGCTGTGCTATCCCGAGGTGGCTAATCAAGAGACAATATAAATTATGCGAAACACAATGACAATGGAGCATGCATATGAGAATATGTATGTATCTATGTATGCATGTGCACACTTCTTTCAATTCAACTTTATTCTGAATTTCTCATAAATGATAGTTCAAAGTCTGGACTAATTTCTACTTTTTGTTTTCTTTGGAATTTAGAAGTTTGTAGCCGCAGGATTATTGAAGATTAGTTGTCTATTATTAACAGAGATTGATGTTTTGATTGGATAGAATGTTGGAGGTAATGTGAATCAGAGATTGTTCCGGGGCTATGCCACAACGGCAGCAGTGAGGGAAGGCCACCTACAAGTTCTGGAGATGCTCATCAATGCCGGAGCGGCTCAGCCGGCATGTGAAGAGGCTCTGATGGAAGCAAGCCTCGTGGATCGGCCTACATTTGCTGAGCTGCTCTTGGATTCCAACATGATACGTCCTCAAGTTTCTGTTCATGCTCTTGTCTCTGCCTCTTGCCGAGGATTCACAAATGTTGTCCATGTACTCCTCAAGGTAAACTCAATACCTTCTGCTGCTATTTATAAGACTGATCTTGATCGTTATTTAACATGAGACCTTCTAAGAAAATTAAAGGGATATTTATTATTGATTTTCAAAAATTCTTATTCACTCACTACTTTTATCATCTGCCTTATCTCAGCTTGATTAAGGGCGGTGATTTTGAAAAATTATGTCGTAAAAAATAAATAGAGACGATAATTATTAGATTGACTTTGTTTCTAAACTTTGGCAGCATGGGGTGGATGCCAATGCCATTGATAGGACGTTGCTTCAATCTTCAAAGCCATTTCTCCACGCTAATGTTAATTGCAATGCATTGTTCGCAGCTGTTGTTAGCAGGCAGATCGATGTTGTGAGATTGCTCTTGCAGGTTTGTTTCTGACTTTAAACGAGCTTCTTCACATGAGATCAAATCTTTGAAGGAATACTGATTTATATTTATATGAGATTAAATGCCGCCGGTCTAAAATACACATTTCTTGTACTCACACAAAAGATAACATCTAATGGTATAACATTTTGATATGTTTCAAGGATTAGCCAGATATAATATATAATTATCCAGCAGTTCATGATGTGATCTATTATTCAATCCAAATATTAACTGTTTCAATATATGCATTGAGTCAAGCTGTTCTGTGGATTGATGAATCCTATTCTTGTAAATCAGGTTGGAGTAAGGACTGATATTAAGGCCAAACTAGGGGCTTGGACATGGGAAACTGATAGTGGAGAAGAACTTCGTGTGGGTGTGGGATTAGCTGAGGCATACCCAATCACCTGGTGTGCTGTGGAGTATTTTGAAGCTAGTGGAGCTATATTGAGTATGTTGCTATTTCACCTCTCGCCCAACAGTTTTCACTTTGGAAGGACTCTTCTGCACCATGCGATTCTTTGTGATAACAAAAAAGCTATGATTGTGATCCTAAATTACGGTGCAAATACAGAATTGGCCATGCAAATGACTAAGGAAACAAATTTATGCCCCATTCACATGGCTACAAGGCTTGGATTACGCGACATTCTTCAATGCCTACTTGATGCTGGTTGTAACTTGGACTCCCAAACAAAATCTGGGGATACTGCATTAATGATCTCCACAAGGCATAAGCATGAAGATTGCCTTAAAGTGTTGGTCTCAGCAGGAGCTGATATGGGAATGGTAAATTCATCTGGTCAATCTGCGATGTCGTTTGCAAAGTCTGTTAAGTGGACAAACGTCTTCCAGAAAGTAATCTTGGACTTGATTCGAAGCGGAAAGGTTGTCAAATCGAGCAATGCCTCCACATTTTCTTCTTTGATTTTTGCAACTCGTGCTAATGACACACAGGCTTTGAAGGAACTCATTGAACGTAGAAACATAAATTTAGATGAACAAGATGAAAATGGATTCTCAGCCACCATGATAGCTGTAATAGAAGGTAAAGCAGAGGCTTTCAGGTTGCTTCTTAAAGCTGGAGCTGATGTTCTAAAGCTAAGAAACAAGCACGGTTTGACAGCTCTTGACCTTATAAACATGAACAAATCTGGAAAAGCTTTTGAGAAAATAATGCTTGAATTTGCACTTGAAAACGAATCTAATTGCTCCAATCTTGCGTTAAATCCTCTGCATCATGCTGCTCGCCATGGGGACACAGATCTGGTTCATAAATTAATCAAAAGAAGATTCGATATAAATGCTTTCGACCACAACGGATATACACCATTAATGTTAGCAGCAAAAGAGAGCCAAAGTAAAATGTGCGAGTTACTAATCTCATGTGGTGCCAAATGTGATATTCACAACAAGAGACATGAGACAGCTCTTTCACTTGCTAGAAAAAATGGAGCAGGAAATGATGCAGAGCGCGTAATATTCGACGAGCTAGCTCGAAGACTGGTTCTAGCCGAGGCTCGAGTAAAGAAGCACACAAGGTGTGGGAAAGGGTCACCGCATAGTAAAGAACTGAGAATGGTGGATGGTGTTGGAATTCTACGATGGGGAAAATCAAATAGAAGAAATGTGGTTTGTAAAGCAGCTGAGATTGGTCCTAGTGACAAATTCAGATGGAATCGTAGAAGGAAGTATGATGTTGATGAGCCAGGATTGTTCCATGTGGTCACTACAAAAAAGAAAGAGGTTCATTTTGTATGTGTGGGTGGTGCTGAAATGGCTCAGATGTGGGTGAGGGGTATTAAATTGGTCACCAAAGAAGCCATCTTTGGCAGAAACAACTGAGATCATGCTTGAAGCAACCGTGGTTAAAAATCAGAAGTAATACATGTATAAAACCTAGCTTCTAGAAACATTGTTTATATGTAAGCAGTGTGGAGTTGAAGTTAGACTATGACAAACACCAATACTTTTTTAGTGGTGAACTAAGCAATTGTGTCTAACTACAATTGCACAGTTAAGCTCCTTCGTATCTTTGTTTGAAATCATGAAATGTGAAAATATATATATATATATATAGTTATACGATATCTGGTATTATTGGATCAAATTCCAACATTGTTAAACTTAATTGAAGTAGTTTTCCCATACTATACATTTTTTATCTACAAAATTCAAACACTTAAGCTTGGTTTGGATAAAGAGAAAAACAGGAAGAAAATAAGGAATGGATAAGATTAGAAGAATTTTTTTCCCATAAATAGTCAATTTTTAGGAAAATATAATAGTTTGTCATATACTTCTAACATGTTTTAATGTCAGTCCTTATCTTTTTTTTTTCCCCCTTGTTGCTCTAAATACTTTAAATTCTATTTGTTACCAATGTTAGTCCCTATATTTTAAAATGTGATTAGAAGGATTTAACAGTGGCTAATGTGTGCAAAAATTATATTATTTATTATGTTGACATATTAAAATTATGATGAATTATATATATAAAAATTGGTATATGGAAAAAAAAAATCAGGAAGCAGGACGTTAAATCAAAACTAAACATGATAGGTAGGGCAAAAGGCAGAAAGTTAAAATGGCTAGTTTTCTCCAATGATATCCAAGACATCATAATTTTATCAACTCAGCAACAAAATTAACATAGTTATATATACATTGGCACAATTAACTTTGCCAGTAACGACAAGAACCAATATTGTAAACAAATAAAACTTAAAAGATTTGAAATAATGAAAAAAAGTAAAGAAATTAATTCCAAAACAAACTAAAAGTATAACACCAACAATTATAATTTCCCATTTTTTTTTACTATTTTTAGAAATTTTTCCTCCTAGTTTTCCCTTCTCCTTATCTTTCTTCCTATCCAAATTAAGAATTAATCTTGCTTAAGGAGGATTAAACCCAACACCTATGGGTTAAAATTTGAATACAACCATTAGCTTCACAAAAATATTTCAAGCGAAGCAATCTTGCTTATTTATATTAGAGATTGCCCTAAAATTTTTCAAAATCTAATGTCACCCCAGTTGACAGTTGCAAATATTAAATATACTTTCGTATAAATTCATGGTCTCTTATATCGTCTATGTCCTCTAGTATTTTTGCTTAAGTTCATTTATTATAGTTTTTATTTTGGTAATTCAAAGAAATTGTGACAAAGAGTAAGAACTCACAACCAATCTTAGTGAGGTTGAAACACCTCTGGTACTACATGTTTAAGTAAGAATTCACCAACACGTAATATATTAGATAGATGATAAAACGATTAACATTACATTTCAAACTTTATATATATAACTAAAACAGAAATAAGAATTTATTCTCACTCTTTTACATAAATTAACTCAATAAGGGGATAATATTGAAAATCCTAAGCTCTCAGGCAATGGCAGTAGTTTCAGATAATACCATTCATTTTCATCACTCTTCTTCGAATGTGGCATTCCAATGCAAGTATCATCTTGTGTGACATCCCATGTCTATGTAGCATCCTAAATGAGGGACATCTTTAATAAGGATTTTAATTTGGTGATTATATTTAGTGCATACATTAAGTATTTGTATCATTTAAATTATTAAAATTCATATTAATTGTTTTAAATTTATGTTTCACTTATAAGTTTATTTAAATCGTTAATATAGATTTTAATAGTTTAAATAATATAAACACTTTTACGATCACTAAATTCAAATTCTCTTACAAGGTGAACCCTATGGCATGGTGATAAAGGTGGTTGGCTTTCAAAAGCCAAGCCACGAGTTCGAACCCAGGCAATCTCAATCTTCTACACACGAAACAATAAATTCAAATCCCCTTAGAAGCGAATTACATGGAAATCTATAGCTGTTCACATTGTGGTACATAAACAGTAAGCCCAATAACTATGCAAGGACCAATAATTAAGGCAAGAATAAATATGGAAGGGCCTAATCACTAAGGCAAGGCCCAAAAAAGATTAAATAAAAAACTTTTACAATGAACTTTGTAGGTTTACCAATTAGAGATTAGATTTAATAGAAGAGACTAGTCTCTCACAATATAACAAACCATTGTTTAAATTCAAGCTGAAAGAAGTGCTCATATTTAATGCCAATCATATTTTAAATATAATTATTGTGAATGGTGAAAAAGAAACTTTGAAAGTTCAAGATGTCCAAGGCAATTACACTACTTCCTCAGTCCCTCCTAATCTTAATATAGGATATTCTCTTAAAATTTTGTTTAATCTAAAATATAATGTATTGAATAATTCTTATAATTTCTCCAATTATATCCTTATTTTATTTATTATTCCTTTTAAAAAAATAATTCATTAGAATTTCCATTATCATTATATAAAGTATTTAATGAGGGTATTTTAAATAAGACAAATATTATATTTATTTTACTTAAGGGTGTTATTGGAAAGATGTACCATTTTTTGGAAGATTACGATTTCAATTAATTTTTTTAGATTGTGAAATGGTTATCAGTTTATAAACTAGCGAGTATATACGTACATTTACATCACTTAATTGTTTCAAAAGTCCACATTGAATAATTGGATGAAGTGTGTGTTTGGATAGCAGATAAAATTGATTATTTATCCCATAATTAATTTTTTGAGCAAAATTATCCAAACACCACAAAAATGCAAAAATCGAACAATGAGGCAAAACGTGCATTAATTTATAATTTGTGAAAACCAACTTTCATCTTAAATTTTTCTACTGTTATTGCATTAATTCTTTTGTCAGATATTCAGCTACTCATGTTGCCCTTCTTCATGTGCTCTCTCTATCTCATTGTTCTGATCTCACATTTCTCTCATTCATGTGCAAATCTCTCTCTCATTTTTGATCTCCTATTTCTCTCATTCGGTCTTCAATCTCGACTGCCGTCTCTTACCCTTATCGATCTATGACTTCATTGTGCCATCTCTCTATCGTTGTCCACCCACCCCTAACATAGTCATCGTCCGTCGTCCCCGATCTATGGTTAAAGGCAATGATCTTCGGCCATCTTGTGATCTGTGTGCATATTTGTGGTCCTTGTGCTATGCAATCCTAGTGGCATCATTGACCTTCATTCGCTGTCTTTGAGTTGCGGCCAGTAGCAGTGATCTCCTACTATAGTCGAAGAAGGTAGTAAGCTCCATCCACATTCTCTTGGCTCAATCTACTCGCTCCGTCTTTTGATTTGCTTGTGGTCCACCGTGTTTGTCTCCCATCTCCTGTGATCTGTGTTTGAGTGAAGTTTTGACTGGGCTGAAAGGTAAATGATCTTCTCCGACCATTTTTTTAGACAATCTTGGTCAGGCGTAATGTTTGATCTTAGTCAGACGCTATTTTCTTTTTCACTCTGTTCTATATATGTGGATTTCTTCTTGCGATTGCTAGCTTAGTTGTGTGGTTTGAACCATTTACTGCTCTTTATTAGTTAAACTGAACCATTACTTCGGCCATTACAACTCTTGTACATTTGAAAATAATACTGTAGGTGAAAGCTAATTTTTCATGTTATTTTTATGCTGGTTTTGTGCCTAATTGAACTCTGTGCTAGATATAAGAGAACTGTTGAAAGTTGATTTTAGCTATTGAAACCTGATTTTAGTCAAACTCTTGTACATTTGCAAATTATGGAAAGCTTTTAAAAGTTAGTTTTGTGCCTAGTCAAACTCTGTGCTGGTTTTGGTCTTTGTAATCACTAATTACTAGAGGTTTATTCTCAACCAGTATGTTTTGCATATATAAGGGTCATTTAGTCAAATTTTGTGCCGTTTCAGTGTCTGTTGAATGTTGAATTTAGCTCCTCTGAAAATTGTCAAGTTTTTGTCATGTAATATTTTAATTACAATTCTTATAATTAACATATTAGTTTTTTATACTCTCATACAATCAATTTTTATATAATATAATGAGTAACAATAAGTCAAAAGCTTCATGGGATCAAAGAAATACTAGAATATTTATTGACATCTATTTGGACCAAGTTTAAAAATCACAAAGAAATGGTGGTAGTTTTACCAAAGCAAGATGGCTCAGTATAATTTCTACCTTCAATGAGAGGACTGGGCAAAAATATAATAGACAACAATTCAAGAAGAAGTGGGATAATATGAGAAAAGAATAGGTACTGTGGGATAAGTTAGTTTCAAGTAAGACAGGATTGGGTTGGGATTACACAAACAATACTGTGGATGCTTTAGATGATTGGTAGGAGAAAAAGATATTGGTATGATGTTATTATGTAAGACTTTATATTTATTTTATTTATTTATGTATTTTGTAATATTATTGGTAATTTATGTGCAGGAAAATCCATTATATGAGAAATTCAGACAAGATTACCATTTGCTAATGAATTAATTGAGTTGTTTCAAGGTTTCATTGCCAGTGGACCTAGAACATGTTAACATTTACAATAGGAATGAAGGTGAGGACGAAGACGTGTATCGGCCAGATATGGCAAATGAGGGTATTGATTTGGAGGAACATTTAAGAGATAGTGATGAGATCTTAAGAACTACTGGAGTAAGCGGTGAATTTAATAAAGTAGTTCTGAATGCTTCTCAAAGAATCTTACGTGGAGGCAATGGTAAAAGGAAGAGGGGTGAAAGCAGTAACAATAGAAAGAAGAACAAGTTACTTAGTACAAGTCAAATAGCAGATGCAATAAGTGTGATAGCTCAAACAACAAAGGAAGAATCTCAACAAGCCAAGGAAACATCAATTCTTGAAGTCATGTCTATAGTCAAACAATGGAAAGAAGTTGCAACTGACAAACATTCGGTTTCACGATGCATGTCACTCTTCATGTCCCGAGAGGTTAGGGTGATGTTTTTGACAATGAAGGATGATAAAGAAAGTGTTTTGGAGTGGTTGAGATATGAATATCACAAAATGGTTGATTATTAGGGTTTTAAAACTTGTTATGAGCATATGATCTTACTTAAAGAGTAGTCTAACATGTTTGTATTATATTGTTGAATTTGACTTATATAGCCTCTTGAACTGCTTATGTACTTTTTATATATGACAATGAAGTATTAAATGTTTTGGAAAGGTTATTGGTATTTTTATAGATGACTTGTTTAAATGTATCTATAATTGAAATTAAGTGCACATATTATTTATGTGTTTGGCTACAGGTAGCAAGACATATAGAAGAGTCATCTAAAAAAAGGTTAAAGAGAGCCTAAAAAGTTAGTGCTTTCATTGGGTTGTATGTAACAAAACATTTATGCAAAGAGCCATAAAGAAATAATGAATATACAGGTTATTTGTGGGTGAATGAAGTTTTAGAGGGACACCCAGTTTGTCACTATGAAATGTTTAGAATAGAACTACATGTGTTTCATCAATTATGCAGTGAATTGACATAGCATGAACTAAAGGATACTGGGCAAATAAGAGTACAAGAGATGGTTGCAATTTTTTTAAATACAATTGGACATGGGTTGGGAAACAGGATAGCACAAGAAAGATTTCAACATTCAGGAGAGATTATTCATAGACATTTCCATGAAGTTTTAATGGCTTGCTCGAAACTTGCAATGGAATATATCAAACCATAAGACAGGTTCTTTCGTCACATATCAAACAAAATAGAAAATGATAAGCAATATTAGCTATTCTTTAAAAATGCCATTGGAGCAATTGATGGCACACATATTCCATGTGTAGTCCTTATTAGTGAAAAATCAAAATATATTGGAAGAAAAGGAATCCTTATAAAAAATGTAATGGCTGTGTGTGATTGGGACATGTCATTTACTTTTGTCTTGGCTGGATGAGAGGGTACTACACATGATGCTCGCTTTTTTCAACATGCTTTAAGAACTCGATTCATGAACTTTCCACATCCGCCTTTAGGTATATTTATTTGTTCAATTTATTTGTGTTAGACTTTCCAACTTACAGACATTAATAGTAATCTTTTTTTATAAGGTAAATATTATTTGGTGGATGCTGGCTATCCAACACCAAATGGATATCTTGATCCGTATAGATAGGAACGCTACCATCTTCCTAATTTTAGAAGATCAACTGGATTTGCAAATAATAATGAGGTCTTTAATTATTTTCATTCAAGTTTACGATGCACAATAGAAAGAACATTTGGAGTTTGGAAGAACAAATTTGCAATTTTACGTAACATGCCTAGCTATGACTATGATATACAAGTTCAAATTGTTGTTGCATCAATGGTGATACATAATTTCATTAAAAGACACTCTAACTTTGATTTTGATTTTATGCGCCATGAGAGGGAAGATCAGGAAGACCATGAGGATCAAGAAGACCATGACATTGATGAATATTCATCCTTACCATCAACTATGACTAGTATTTCGTGTTATTATTAGGGATCAACTTATATATTATCATCTTCATTAGTTGTTATCAAATTAATGTTTCATATTTAAGAATTTAATTTTCTTATCTTTTGTTGAATTTATTTTAAGTAAGATATATTTAGTTACTTATTTACATAAACTTAAATGTTAATATTAATATAATTTAAATTTTTAATTAATTATATATGTAGTTTAAATAATATATTTTACTTCTTAAATAAAATGTAACAACTTTAATAATATTAGATACAAATTTATCAATAATTTAATTTTAAAAAGTAATGTTTTTTATAGTAATTTATATAGCTAAATTTAATTCTGAAAAAATTATCCAAACATCTTCAATTCTGCTAAAATTAATTTTAGAAAAACAGCATCCAAATAGATTGCGTTATAATATAATCAATTATGATTAAAATATACCACTTAATCAATTATTTTCATAATTTATTATACCCAACTAAAATTTAAAAGGGCATGAATATGGCCATGAGTTGGGCTTGAGAACTTGAAGAAGACGTTTAAGTTCAATTGTTGTCTTTAATTTCTTAGTGACAGATTAGAGACTTGAATAAATAAAGGTTGATTAATTAATGTCCTGTGATCTTTGTTAATCATTATATTTTAATCTTATCATGTATTTTCATTTTTATTATTTAGAGGCATTTAGCATTATTGGCCTATATGTTCAAGCAGTATAGCTTAAATAGGATTTCAATGATCAGGGGTGGAGGGGGCGACCGATAGGGGCCATGGCCCCCCTAACTTTTTAATTTTTTTCTTAGTAAAATGTAGGGATTATATATTTTCAGTCCCTTTAAATTGGTACATTATAGAAGTTATAAAACATTAGATGAAATTTTTATTTTAACTTTATATATAGTCTTTTATATATGTATAAAGCAAATATTTTAGTAGCTTTAAGATATGGTTGTTATAGGATTTACTTATTGTCAACAAGATAATGCTATACATGATCTTAAGATGTTAAGGTCATTTTATTTTACTTTTATTTTATATTTAATGAAAGAAATTGAGAGAATTATTATTAATAAACTTTGTTAAGCATTGCAACAAAAATTTTAAGATATATTAAATTCTATGTGCTTAATATCTATTATAAAATCACTTATCCAAAAGTTAAGAAGTTTAGTGAAGATGTTTTTTGAAAAAAATTACTTTTTTAAAATAATCAAACTATTGAAATTTATGATGCGAATAGTTTTTACTCTTATATAATTTGATCTTATTGACATAAAGATTTTATGACAATTGAGCATTATTAATGTGTTAATATATTTATTTACTACAGTTATTAATTAAAAAATTAAATAATAAATTCAATAAGCAAGTAATATAACTTATTATATTGAACAAAACTTTAGATTTCAATGATGTATTTAAATCATTTAATGCTTATAGGAATAATAAAATTTTCACCAATTTAATGATAATTCATATTGAGAAAAAAATTGTTAAAAAATTTATCGTCAACACAGTAACTAATAATTTTTATATTATAAAAAATCAATGAGCAAAACTTAATATATATATATATATATATATATTGTTATACAGGTGTAAAATTAAATATAAATATATATTGAAATATTTATATCATATATATATATATATATATATATTTAACCTTTCTTTAATTATCATATATATACTTTATCATCTCAACTTCTAATAATAAAAAAATCCTGACTCTACCTTATTGATGATGGTTTTCTTAGCTTAGTTTTCAAGTTGGGGTTTTAGATTCTTTTCATGCTTGTTTTAAAGGAACATCTACGTAACACATTCTTTACACGTTGAATGAAATTTTCGAGCTATTCTACAAGTTCATAATTGTAGCCTCGTATTCTTATGCAACTTTTAACTTAAAAGTGGACTTTGAATGAAGGGAAAATGACCATAAAATTCCCTTTAATTTTATAAATAATAATTTAATCTCTTAAAATGTCATAGTTTTACTAAAATTTTTAGGGGCTTCTATGTCAATAAATTTTAAAGTAAAAATATTATTTTACCATTATTAAAAATAATAAGCTCTAATCACAACTTTTACTTAAGAAAAAATAACTTTTATTTTGTGAATCGCAAAAAGTAAAATAAAAAATTATAACTTATTAAGTGTAATTTATATTATTGAAAAACAAGTTTCAATCACAACTTTTATTTAAAAATAACAACTTTTATTCTATAAATAGAAAAAATTGAATGAGAAATCATAACTTGTTAAGTATAATTTTTTTATTAAAAAATAATTTTTAAAACAACAAACTCCGATCACAACTTTTATTTAAGGAATAACAAGTTTTATTTAAAAAATTACAAAAATTAAATAAGAAATTATAATTTGTTAATAAAGGTAAAATAATATTTTCAATTAAAAATTTATTAATATAGAAGTCCCTAAGAATTAAGTGAAATTATGAAATTTTTAAAAAATTAAATTATTATTTATATAATTTAAGAAATTTTATTATCATTTTTCTTTGAATGAAAAATGCAATTTGAGTTTTGCTTTTTATGAATGAATTTAAATGGTTATAGGACCTAGGAAAATGGTTAAATTAGGTCAAAAAGTCCGGTTCCCAAATCAAATAATAAGAAAAATCAAGTTCAAGGTTTTTTTTTTGGGCAAAAAGGCAAATGAATATATTAATAAGGTAGAAAGAAAATTGCAAATTAAAGATTACTAAAGAAAAAGGAGAAAGGAAAAAAGAGTATGGTGGGCATTGCTCATGATAGTTTTAAACTGAAGTTTACAAAAATTTCAGTTGTAATTGAACTTAATTTTTGCCAAAAATTTGGTTAAAATCAAGTTCAATTACAACAGAAATTTCTCAACTAGCAATCACAGAGTCAACCTGTTTAATTTGCATTGGATTTCAGTAATTGAACTCGTTAATCCAAACAACTAAGTGGTTGATACAAAGCTTAAAGACTCAAACTTTTGATTTAGGATGATTAATTGAACAATTTAACCAACCCAATTACTTAATTAAACAACTTAGTAATGAAAATCACTTAAAGATTAATAGAATTAGATTTGATTAAGCAAATTGTAGTCTGGTCTACTTCAGTTGTAACCTGAAAATTAATAGAGCAAGATTTGGTCCTTAGAATCAGGAGACTGATCTCGATAGTTCAATACTCATTTACTTTTTTTTTTCTTGTATAAGAGATAATAATTCATTTCATCTTGATAAATTCAATTAATATAATAAAAATACTCATAATCATAAAAAATTCATAGCAATCTTTAACAACAACAACAACAAAATATTTCAGTTATAATTCAAGTTACTAAAATAGTTGCTCTATCATATGTAAAAAACTACATATAGAATTAAAGTGAGAATTTCATCTAATATTTCCTAACTTTTATAATGTATTAATTTAAGGGAACCAAAAATATATGACTCCTATATTTTATTAAGAAAAAAATAAAAAGTTAGGGGAGCCATAGCCCCTACCAATTCCTCCTCTCTCCACCCTTGCCGTAAAGTTTTTAAAGCTACTCTTTTTACTCAAAAAGGAGTTAAG